TATCACTTGCCCAGTCACAAACTGCTGCAATTGGCAAACTCCACTCTTTTGTCTTTGCGTCCAAAACATCGCCGTGTGCCGCTACATGGGCCCACAGTTTTTACAGACGGSTCAGGAAGAACTGGAAARSCTATKGTTACTTGGCAGRATGAGTCTGGGTGGCAGGTCCTGGAAGGCCATGAGTCTGGCTCTGCTCTGCTCGTTGAGTTGAGGGCTGTGACAATGGCATTCCAGCGGTTTGCTCGTGTACCGTTGAACCTTGTTACTGATTCTGCTWATGTTGCTGGAATTGCACAGCAYTTAGATTGCTCATTGCTGAAGGAAGTTAACAATGTGGCTTTGTTTTCCCTGTTGAAATCTTTGTKGYCTGCGATTCAAGAATGACTGCATCCTTATTACATCCTGCACGGTCGGAGTCACACTGCATTACCAGGGTTTAAAGCAGAAGGTAACTCTAGAGCTGATAAGCTTGCCAATCCTGCCTGGGTAGCACCGCAGCCTGACAGTGTGGCGCAAGCTAAAGCATCACGTGATTTTTTCCATCAGAGTGCAAGTACTTTGCAGAAGCATTTTCCCTCACACTCACTCAGGCTCRGAACATARTCAACTCATGTCCTGACTGCCAGGGCTTTACTGCACTTTTGCTGGTGGGTGTCAATCCCAGGGGTCTGCAAGCATTGCAACTCTGGCAGACAAATGTCACTCACACTGCTGAGTTTGGTTGTGTCAAGTACATGCACGTCTCCATTGAYGCCTTTCTTCTGCTATGTGGGCATCTGCTCACACAGGASAGAAAAGCCGTGATGCTATCACACACTGGTGAGTGGCTTTTGCGGTTTTGGGGGTCCCATCGTCCATCAAGATGGGCAATGGTCCTGCCTACACCTCTGAGAGGACAAGGAGGTTCTTGCAGTTATGGGGTGTGACTCACAAATCTGGTATCCCTCATTCRCYCAYAGGTCAAGCAATCATTGAATGTGCTCATGGTACCTTAAAGTGTGTTTTGCAGAAAAAAAACTGGCGAATGTCAGGGGAACCCCCACATGCCAGGCTACAAAAAGCCTTGTATACAATTAATCACCTTATAGTTCCTTCTGATTCTAACATTCCAGTTTTTGTGAAGCATTTTTTGYCTTTGCARTCGGAAGCAGCAGTGACCCTTCCCCGAGGAAATGTTTGGGTAAAAGACCTCATAACTGGGGGACAGGTATGCTTGTGTCTCCACAGATACCGGACCCCACTGGGTGCCAGCACGGTGTGTGAAACCTGATTTGAAGGAGAACCAATGCAGAAACGACAATGGCACAAGACAGAGTTCTTTCGACCTCTTCATCACCACCTCCATGACCGCCTGGACTTGTAGTGGGGAGGGAACGGCACTGATGCCCTCACTGCCCAAAGGGAATATTTGGGTGACTCTAGCTCATGCTTTGAACCAATCATCTATGTGTGTGTCGCTTGCTACGCCTCACTMTCCTTTCCAGACATGTTTGGTGGRGGTGYCATTGCAAAATGAGACATTAATAGAGGCACTATCGAATGGAACAACGGGATGAGGGAGAACAAGGTTGACACCAACCTATCCTAATGAACCACAGGAACTAGATTTACTGGATTCTCTTCATGCACTTGCTTGTGTGACCTTTAATGTATCCCGTGCTTGGATGGGGGGGACGCTGTGATGGCACCAAACTGAATGTTTTGCCTTTGCAAGCTTGGTATGGTAATTTTTCCACCTGGTGCAAAAAGAGCGTGGGTGTGGGGTTTCAGAACAACCTCATGCCACGACGGCTGCCCCCCGGAGTCTTTCTGATATGCGGAGATAGGGCATGGGCRGGCCTCCCCTCCRACATGGTGAGAGGGTCTTGCACTTTTGGGCAATTAACAATAATGTTCCCTAATATCACATTGGCTCCCAACATCACACAGCCATTGCACTGGCAGCACAGAGCACTCCTAGGGCTCAAACCAGATTGTGTGCATGACCTGGAATTTTGGGGTTTTGGCTCGCAGGTGATGGCTTCTCTTTTTGCTCCAGTGGGTACAGCAAAATCTTTGAGGCATCTTGATAAGATGGGCTGCTGGCTTGCTAAGCATACTAATGCCACTTCAGCAGCTATAGCAGGGTTACTAACTGATGTTAACTCTGTACGTCATGCTACCTTGTGGAATCGAGCAGCTATTGATTTTTTGCTTTTAGCACATGGGCATGGATGTCAGGATTTTGAAGGTCTGTGTTGCATGAACTTATCAGACCATTTGAAATCACTTTCTGGAAACATACAGGAATTACAGGAAGGCGTGAGGATGCTACAAAAGAGTGATAGCTGGATTGATGGGCTGTTCGAAAACTGGGGTTTCTCAGGGTGGCTCAGGGATACGCTGAAGGCAGTTAGAGTAATCTTGCTTGTGATAGTGCTAATGTTGTTGTTGGTGCCGTGTTTGCTGTGTTTTCTGCAAAGGGCTCTGCAGAGGACCATGAACGCATTTCTGGTTCAAAAACAAAAAAAAGGGGACCTCTGGAGGCCAAAAGCCGGCGTTACAGCCTTGCACGTCCTAAAGCTGAAATTCAACCGATAATGGTRTATGCCTGAGATCTGGGAAGACAGAAGGGAGTCTGAAAGCCTGCATGGAGGAGGATTTTACCATAACAACGCAACCTTGGCTACCTCTGGGAAAGGGAGAATGGAATGTTGAAAGAGGTAAAGCAGATGCCCAGGACAGAAGCAAAAATCATAAATATTAACGACATTGCAGCTTTTGCGAACACACCAATCATAGGCTGACAAGTAGRAAAGCGGCTGCCAACTAGCCAATAGATATTTGCCATAAATGCAGAAGACTTAGTATACACTTGTTGCTAAATAGATAAAAGGGGCTCAGCCCCGTAATAAAGTAGTCRTAGYCATCTGTCTATCTGTGTCTATTGCTCGTTACTTTGTGTCGCATTGTCCGTCTCTACTGCAGCAGCTGCACTGCTGACAAATTCATGGTCACTACCAGTATGTCAGTAAATGACGCATCCCAGAGAAAGTGTTCACATTACTTTTGCCCACACTCAAATTGACATGGGAATAGAATCTTAATCACTCATTTCTGAATTAATTAGTACAATTTAATTTTTTCATAGAAAGCTCAAGAATTACAAAAATTGTGGATGCCTGCATTTATATTTKATTGGATTTAATCATGCCTGTAGCATAGTAACTGATAAACTAAGTACTACTAAGTACTAGGTCATATTCCCTGGCAGTAATCTTTCAAGAATACATTCTCWGAGAAGGAAGCAGGAGAGAGAAGATGAGAAAATCAAAGCAGGAAAAAAAGAAACCAGGCCACAGCACAGTTAATGGATACAATAAAGTGAGACAGCTGAGCAAAAAAGCAGGAAAAAGGAAAAGCAGACATCAATGTATATGCACTGTGGAGAAATGATAGGCAAAGAAAGAAAACCTGTGTAGGTCCTGAAGACTACTGTTCATGGTCCTCAAATAGAAAGAAAATAATCCTACTCATCTTGCTTTAGATAAATGTGATGTAGATATGCTTTGGATAATGCTTTTAGACAAGTTTTTGGAAAACCTTTAGATAGAGGATATATATATATATATATATATATATATATATATATATTTTTCTTCTAATCTTAGTTTAGCACATAACCCATTGCTGCAGTCGACACATGAATGATGTGAGTCTGTGACAGAAAATAGCTTCTTTACTAACTTGTGGTTGATAACCTGCAAATGTGAGAGGCCCCACTTYATGGATACATTCCTACACACCATATTTCTGTCTATTGGAAGATGATGTTGTCTTTCTTACAATACAAAAATCTTAAAAGAAGTGAAAAAATGGTCTGCCCCCGAAATTGGTAAGGTAACAGAGTCTCAGAGTCACAGAATGGGCCAGGTTGGAAGGGACCTTAAAGATCATCTGGTTCCATTCACCCTGCTGTGGGCAGGGACACCTTCCACAAGATCAGGTCGCTCAGCAATACATACAGTGTTTGAGTTTKTATCAAATATATAACACACGTTATCTGCACATAAAGTCTGTTTTTTCATGTGATGTTCTTTTCAGGTAGAAAACAATTAAGCATTTAGCAGTGTTTCATACTATGTAGCTCAAAGCACGCAGAGGGCTGGATACAGCAAAAGCACCTGCAGCTATGATCTGACATAATGTGCCCATGACCATGAGAAAAATATATTTGGTGACTGACAAAGACCTGTCTTGTTTTGCTCATTTTCTTCTAAAGACAATATTTATTGTCATAGAAACACWGAAAAAAAAGTGTTTCTGCAATCTGCAGGTGAACAAGCCTTGGGGAAAGAGGGAGAGGAGTACTTTCACAGAGTGAGAGGGCAGCTCCCTGTCTTTGGGAGCTCAAGGCAAGGAGAGCAGGGCAAGTTTGAAGGCCCCCAAAGAACAGGAGCTCTTCCAGCTGGTGCCTTGCAAGGCAACTGTTCTGCTGAATTAGGAACTACAGCCTGTCCTTCTCACTAAATTTGAGCACAGTTTTTTCTGCTCATTAGAGAAAAGGACAGTGTGTACAGACGTGAATTACTGAGCAGTTGTAAATAAGTAAAAGCAGGGAAACTGTCCTGCAGAAAGTTAAAATCTCTGTCTCTCCATTGTATTCCTGGGCAGTTATTCCTCAGGATCTAATCCCTTTTCCAAAAGACTTTTTCAATCATAATTTTTCCATACTTAAATCAGGTAGCCCCTCTGAACCTTTCTCACAGTTTTCTTTCATGGTGATTTTTGGCCATCTAAAAGACTGAAAAAGCTGTTTACCCTGTGGCATTAGCCCATATTTTGTCTACTCTCATTTGAACAATTAATCTCCAAGGCCTAACAAATTTTCACTGATGGCTTTCTGCAGACCAATAAATTTATCCTGGCCTTCCCAGCCTACATCAGTAAAGGTGAAGCTGCAACATGTGCAATTAATTCTTAGTATACAAAATGCAGGCAAAGTTATGCATTTTTCCAGAATCTATACCAGAAATATATGTAGAACCTAAACCACGTGATTTCACTTTAATTTTTTTTTTAATAGGAATTATGCGTATTAACTGGGAGTATCTTTACCCTGAAGTATTTTCTTTTATGGAAGAAAGACTAAGATGCTGATTTAACAAGGTTTAACAAGGATCTGWTCATGTTTGCATATACAATCAAATTCAGAACAAATCTAGATGAGGACTCTCTATTAGCACTTGGAAAATGCCCACATTGTGTTTCTAGTGTTTGTGTTTGGTTTTAGTTTAAAGTTGTCTTAATACACAGACATCAATTACCATTTCCAGGAACATAATTTTTAATATATGTGCTCAAAATAATATTTTTTTCTTGCCATTTCAATTCTGTGTTGCCATCTACTCCCACCCTTGCTCCCAGAGATACATTATTCTGTATCCCTGCTGGGAGAGCTGTGAATCACAGAGACTATTGATCAACGTGGCACTATGGATGCTGACAAATGTGGACTTTATGGTGTCTGGAAGAGCTCAACAGAGAGACAGACATTCTACTMTGCAGGATAATCTCTACTGAAGACCTAGCAGGCTCACTTTTGATCATTCACACAATGATGTGTTGGATGTGTTTTTCTTCTGCTTGCAAATTTATGATATTATAACACAGTACATCATATGCCAGAAGGCATTTCAGGGTAGTTTTGTTTATTTGGATGAAATACATGTTCTGGAAGAGAGCTGGAACTCTTCAGAAAGGAACTTGTTTTTCATGGCTTTATCTTCAGAAGACAGAACAATTAAGTGATTAGTTTTTGGGGTCGTTTTTTTTTTTGTGCATGCAGACAGCTATATGTTTTAGACTTTCCCAGCTTTTAGAACTTATAAAAATCCAATGGCTGGAGAGGCTAGAAAACAGCGAGACACTTTTGCATTTCTTACAGCCTTCAGTGTGGTTCTAAATATATTTTACCTTAGGGAAAGTTGTTGGTTATGGACTACTTTCTGCAAGAACTGTCTTTATCTTTTTAATAACYCTTCTTTCTAAATTCTGTGTTGTGAATGGCAAGTGAAATGCAAGCTTTCTCTCCATCTCCTTATGGTAGGGACTAAAACAGGATAAAAGAATAGGAAAGCAAGCAGATGAACAAAGATGGTGGGGATTTCCCACACAGAAACACAAAAAATGCTAGAGGACTTCAGCCCCTGGTTCTTCAAATAAACACCCATCGGCACAATCAGGAAGTCAAAAATAAAGAATGTAATCTCATAATATTTAGTCCAGAAAGTACTTTTAAAAAGTCATTGAACTTCCTCAGATCTTTCATTGGCTGAGAATTTTCTACTTTACTATTTTTAACTATTTGTACTTGGTTCATGGGAATGAGTGAACACAGAACAGATGGAGGCATTAAACCACACTCCTAATGGAGTGGGGGAAGAAAACAGTGATATAAGAGTAAGGAGAAATAAGAATACCATAATCCTATTTCTGTAGCAGTTGGTTATACCAAGTGCATGTATTTATGCCTGTTATACAATCACAAGTTCCTAGCCACTGGAGAACATCATAAARATTCTGTAATACTCTTCCAAAACAGTACAGTATCCCATCTTTTTAGGACATACCTTCAGACTACCCATCTCAGCCTAACAGTTTCTCAGAAACAGAGAGAGCAGGGGTGCAAACAGTCTGCAGCCCAAAAATGAAATTCTGTAAGTACTACTATTACTGAGATAAAGGGATGGAAACATAACATAAACAACTTGTAAGAGTTTTGAAAGCAAGCTCCCATCTGGTCTAGGCACACAAAAATGCTACAGAAGATACTATAATTTACAGCATAAATGGTAGTACTGTTAACCTCAATTTAACAGGAGAAGGAAAACTTCTATTCATGTCAAACACCATAGCATTATATAAATGATCCACACAGAACAGAAAAATTGAGACATAGAAATAAAATGGTGTGATTTACACAAAGAAGCCAGGGGCAGAAGCCCGCACATACAGATATGCCTGATATGCTTTGTCAAACCAGTGCTGAAGAATACCCTGTGGTAAATAAATAATAATAATTCCCTAAATTCTTCAYATCTTCTGGGGGGAAGGGGGGGGGAGGGAAGGAAAGACCTTTCAAATATCTGATAATTGTTTTGACAATGCTCACTCTACAGCAGCTACTGTGATCCTCTGTGTTTCACTCCAAAATCACAATGGCAAATAAGGCCGTTTGAGAACAGAGGTCCCTTCCAGCAGAGTTGTGTGAATGCTGTGGCATTTGTAACTGTACTTAGATGATGTGGGAACACAACTCCTCTGCAAAGTCATGGCACAAACAAAAGAATTTAATCCACCATCACAGATACAGGATTCCATTTCTAAGTGGRTTGGTGATGAGAGCAGCTGGATTTATAGACATCAGAAATAGTTATTCTGTTCTGCTAGTTGAGAGGAAAGAACATTTTCCAGTTCTTCAGCAGAAATACACTTGCTAGTGTTAGTCATTAGGATGAAATGGGTCTTACCCTGAGGAAACTTCACCAACTACTGGAATGCGCATTTGGCCTGTTTCATAGAGAGCCTGTTTTCCTGAAATTACCTGCGAAGAGGAAAGAAAGAGAGGCTTTGATGTACTGGGAAGAACCACAAATACTATGATTTGCTGAATAAAGGCTCATATTATACCCCAAATTAAAAAAAAAAAAAAGAAAAATTTTCTTTATAAAACAATTATTTTTGTCCCAATGCAGTTGCTGCAAATTTCCTGTTGATTGCATTACTGTTAAATTTAACTGGTTTGCCCAAAGAATATTTCCTGGGAGGTAATACAAAAATCTTCAAAAGGCACAAAAGGCATTTGCACAGGGAGAAAAATTGGAAATATATTGCAGCTAGAATAAATTACTTCC